AAAATTTCACAGCCAAGTACTTGCCGAGCATCTGCATGTTCCATATCGCGATGACTATTTTTATTAAATCAATATTGCTTACTGAAAGTGTTTTTCTGACAGGAATATTTTCAGCATGATTTTTCATTACATTTATTATTTTTAATATAAATTTATCAAAAGAGCGGTTATGGTTGCTCATGTAACTGGCGTGAAATGAAATTCTTCAACTCTAATTTACGTCATTCACTTATGTTCCACACTACTGTTTTAAGTAAATGATTCATGTTGTACAGTATTTATGGTTACTTCTAAATCAAGTTACTGCTTAACTTCCTTCGTATGGAAAAGAAAACGGAAATTTTTTCTATATTCATCTGTTGAAATACTTGAAATATCTATTAATTCTCGGTTTTCATCAGGCTTTTCAACAATCATCAGTTCAGTAATAAGTGTAACTCCATGCAAACTTTGAATAATTTCGCTATATGGCATGATGTTATTAAAATATAGTATTTGAAGAGCACGGTCATTCTTTTATACATAGAAGCTAGCTGCATTCAAGCATTCAAGTTATTCCAGAGATTTCGAACGTGTTTTATCATATAAAATAGTTCTTTCTCGATTAACAACAGGTACCAGATGTTAATATGATTCGATTCCGAAGACACAACACTTTAAACACGAGAAAGTTTTAATTAAATTAGACAAAAATGAAACTCTGAGCACATTTTCACTCAAAATAGATTCTGACATTTGTAAAAATAGGTAGGTCGTTAAAAAATATTTATATCCTCAAGTCATTGAGAGTTTCCAATTCATTATAGTCAATTACACTAAATAAAATGAGGAAAAGACTCAAGTTAGTCTTGTTTTGTTATGCAAATAAAATATGATTTCAGATTGAGTATGTGTTACTATAGAACAAATGAAAAGAACTGATTGCTATCATAAAATATCAAGCGATATTTAACGCCGCATTTTCAAGAAGTCGAACATAGATTCGTCATCCATGCTACTATTTGCTTCTATGTGCACATTCAAAACAAACTGGTCATTAGCATAAGCATCTTGATAAGTCTTAAATAATCTAAAGAATAAAGAGAAGTATAGGTTGAATATTAACAATAAAAGCTTGAGAAAATAAAATTGAAACTGATGAATTCGTAGTTATATACATGAAGAGGAAAGAGCTATTATGATCTTATAAATGATAAGCAACGAATAGTTTATTTAAGTACTTTCCACTGTGTTAGGATATTGAAAAAAATGAAAAATATCTTTTTCTATGTTATAAGCAAGCTTTACTATAATATTTTCAGGACCTATTAACACCAATTCTGGTGGTTCCATTAGTTGTCCCCAAAAGATGAATGGATTGGTGATGCATTTTCCCTTGAATGTCAGAGAGTCCCGACGATTAATTTGAGCCTTATTGATGACAAGTTGATATCCGTGAATTGAGTGACTAATAATTGCCATTATAAAACCACAATAAATTTCATTGTGTTCACTTTGGAACAATAAACAGGAATCACAAGCTTGAGCACGAGAATTGGGATCATACACCGAAAATCGCACCTTGTTCTTCCAACATTTTTGATGAATGGAAAAAGAGTGAGTGTAGATGGTTCTCAGATAAGACATCACAACATGATTACCAGGTAGTTCAAGTTTAGGACCAAGACGAATAGAATTCACTGGATTCGTAGACGTGTGCTTTGGAAGTGCTTTCCGTTTCGAAGAAAAAATACGGCATATGAATAATCTAAGACACTTGTTGAAACTTATGGTATTAAGTTGAGCTGTAGCACTCTTTAGTATATTGATATTGTTTATCAATTCTGGAACTATCAAATTTGGTCCATTCACAGATTGAACTATTGAGCCTAAATTAATGAAAATCAAATGATTCACCAAATTAAAATAATTAACTCTATCGTGCTACAATATACCAATAATACTTTCAAAATTGAAAGTTGAGTAATTTTGGAGAGGGCCAAAGTCTTCAAGTGATTCTGCCACATGTACCATGGAATGAACCACAGATGTCATTGATCTTTCCTTCATAAAAAGTAATATTAAGAAATTAACTATTAACCAATAAACTAGACTGCCAGCGGTGTAAAACAATCAATTCAAGATTATATTTTCGAGTGCAGTTATTTTACGGAAATGTATATGTATATTTGTATTATTGTTTTGGATACCACTTATCATGAATTAATCTGAATCAAACATGTTCTCAGTATTTTGTACCAATGCTCATCATGCCGCGGTTTCTTGATCAGTAAGAAAACAGCGGAGATACATCAGATACGAGTTCTTCAAACATGAAACTCTTTGGGTCGAATGCTGCAATAATATCTCTGGATTGCCAAAGATTGTCTGAAATATTCTAAGTCGATGAGCTATGACTAGCTCAAATCTGAACCAATTGAAATCGGTTTAGTCGACGTTCGAATATGACCATAAGGGAGCAGAATCCAATTCCCTAAAATGATTTGCCAGCTTCGTCTGAAAATTCGGCCTTTTTTTCTGCCAATTACTCTTAGACCCACGGATTAGAACATCATAATAATTTTGTTACGGCATCTCAAAATCGAATGAGCTAATGCAAAATCGAATTTTGATTTTTTTACTATGGTACGTTGAGAGCAAATTGGTCTTGTGAACTGCTAAGAAGAATCTTTGTACAGCACTTATATGGCGATTATTTTTGAATTGTTTAATTCAGTTGTGACGCTGTAGATATTATTGAACTTTAAAAGTTCATATCAGTATATCATTGGTACTGTAAGACTATATTTTCCGCTGTGGTGCTATAGTAACCACAGAGCTTTTTCTTTGTGGACTTCATGAACACCAATCCAGAAATACAATGACGTTATGTATTGGTAACGTACGTATATTTTCCAAGTTGTGTTTCAGGATATATGAAGAGAAAACCCAAATTCATGAAGATAACTTAAAACTTAGTAAGTAAGTAACACACTTGGCTTACAATCAACAAATACAAATGCTATAGTAGCTAAAGAAAAAACACCCCATAATATTGTAACCGCTAGCAAACCTAACAATGAACAAAGTCTACTCCAAAAATAAACGGTCTATAACTAGAAACCTATCACATAACTAATGTTCACCTTCTTTTTTTCATCGCATGAACCCTTTGTACATTAGACAAGTTTGTGTCTCTGTACAGTAAATATTTCCTCAATCATAGAATGAAAACTCGAACTTCAGGTATAGTTCACAAGTGATCCAAATTACTACACTATAAAATCTAATGTAAGCGACATGAAAAAGTATGTATAATATTTGTTTTTTTATGATTCTTGAAGGTCATTTTACTATATAGATGCTTCGGAAAAGTAATGAAGATGATATAATACTTATTTTTGTGTACATTAAACTTCTATAGATATGTAAATCAATAAAGATATATAACATAGCAAAGATTGAACTTAAGTTTAATTAGAACTGTTTTAAATCAGACTACTTCATTCAAGAATATTTCTGATTCGTTGTCAAATTACTCGGATCTCGTCTGGAAAATTATTTCACTGAAAAAAAATTAGATTCATATTCTTGATTAAACAGAATTTCAGTCCATTAGACGACATGAAGATATTTAGCAATTGAATTACTTACTGAATACAAGAGTGAAAATAGGCGATCGAATTCGTCGAGCAAAAACTTGACTATTTTGATTGTTTCCTCACATAAAACAGATGACTCTGCTAAATTCATAGCAAATGCTAAGAATTTCAGATGTTTATAGTATCGTAGTGGTAAGATTGGCTTGAAATACCTTCAAAAAAAAGACTGTTTTGTTACTATTTCAGTAAATTTTCACACATAACAGTAATCTAACCATAACGGAACTTGAATTGCTACATTCGGAATACACTTAACTTTTTATTTAAGATGATCTGTTTTTATTACAGCAACAATCGTATAAGAAAAAGGGTGAATCTTTAGTCAGCTTAAAAAATTTCAAATGTATATCTTTCTGGAACTCAAACCATATACTTGACTCTTCATCGATTTTCTCTTTTGTATATTCATAAAGCACAGGTAATATTCATATTGTTGTTTCAATAATAATTACTCGAACATCTCATCTCTTTATGAGTTATGGAAAGATAAAGCCATAAAATTATTAAGTGACCGACGCCTTTTTCTAAGTTTTCCTAAAGATAAAGTTTTGAAATAGATTTTTCTAGATGAAAAAAAATTTGTCATTTCACCTTTATGGTTTTATCTGAGAATGTGAAGTGCATAAAATACATGAGAACTTACTGATAACCAAATAGTAATGTTAACCTGTATTCGTTCCCTTTGAATTGTTGATAGAACCTTAATTGAGATGGTAAATGATACGTGGTAGATGGATATCGAATTGAGTCTAGCCTGGATTCAATCGATTGTAAATGCTTATAAATGGAATACGAATAACCACGACTTGAAAACCACATTTCTAGTAAACGTTTCTAACAAATAATAATAGCACATTAGTATCAGAATGTATGTATATTCATCTGTCATCACTTACAAATGTTCCTGAATATACGTTATGAAGTGAATCCGACGTAAAAGATGGACCAATATTAAAATAAGACAGTTGTCTCAAAAGGCAAGGACCTTGTTGACCACAAGCAGGATCTATATCATTTGGTTTCTTTTTTGATTTTCTCTAAGGGTGTAAGAAATAATTATTTTTAGGGAATACGAAAAAACTTCATTTACATTGATTAGCTTGGTCATATGTTGGTCATATAATTCACTGCTGCGATTCTGATTACTTTCATTCTTGTTTCTGATAAAAACTCGTGTAGTACCTTTCTTCTTTGGTACAGATTTTCCTATGATATAAAACATAATTATAATTCATGCATTTATGGATGCAGAAACATTTGGTGAACTGACTTAGCAGTGTTTTAAAATTAATATTAATTCTACTGTTAGTGCTACATGCTTTTATAAAATTTTCAAGTGCTTCAGCTGAATTTTCATGCTTAAAATTCATGCTTGAACAAGAAAAACATTTTCATTTTTCTCACATATTGAAAATCTAACAATTTACCTTTAATAGTACAACGAACACAGCTGTAATAACCAGTTGGATCATTCAAATTCATGAGCAATGCTTGAGCCGGCTTATCAAGAGCTGCAGCAATCAAATAGGCATGTACTTTAATGTAATTACCATTCAAACTTGGAGGACTTATATAGAAGCCTAATTCTAGATGTTGTAACTCAATGATCCAATCTTTTAAAAAGCTTTGAAATTGACTTTTTTTGGGCTTTGTACCACCCATAGAGATGCAACAAACAATAACATTATTAATATTAAACCTTACTGCACGAGGTAATTCATTGATGACCATACAGGTAATCCAAATTGAACGATTAAATTTTTTCAGAGCGATCCCATCACTATTCAATAGCATCGTTATTAGATGTTTACCTGATTCTCCAATTCTTTCTCGAGATCGTATTTGTCGGTACATGTGACCATCCTGAATATCCGACATGTTGGAACTCACGATGTCAGGCTTATTTATAATAGGATGTCGCTCGAGAATTGATGTTATTTGTGGAAGAATCTTAAACGTACACAGTGTTGTAGGACTTGATGTAAAACCGCTACTTGATTCACAGCACATATTCTCACATTTCGATAAATTGTTGCCTTGGTTACCACACTTGGAACAAATCATATATGTTCGAGCTTGCAAAATAGTTTCTTCACTCTTGTGGAGTATTTGTTCTATTGAACGAAAATCAGATGGAACATTACCAACTCCAAATGAACGTAATAAATCACATAAATCATTTATACATGCTTTAGATAATCTATGTCGATGCCGAAACAGAACAAGAGCAGTTGAAATTTCTTTCATATTAGGTCCACGCGATGCAAAATCGTGTGTGCTATCATGAAGCTCTGCTTCCTCCACATTTGCATCATCACCATTGTCTAGATATGAATCTGTGACAGGTTCAGCTTGATCTGCAACATCCAACATCATAGATTCGCTATCCAGTTGTTCACCATTTTGTCTAAGTACCATATTATCATCTGATTCGTCATTTTGTTCAAACAACATATCATCATCTAATTCATCACTTTCTTCAACAATCATATTATCGTCTAAATCTCCATGTGTATCAAAGTTGCTATTTTGTTGTTCCACAATCATTCTTAAATACGATTAAAAATATAATAATTACAATATACATATTAACTTACTGAAAATCATTGGAATCGTTTAATTTCATTGAAGACAATGAATTATTACGCAACTGCCGATGGCTAGCGACTCTTAACCGACGGATAATACTTTTAACTGAACGCAGTGGTACTTCATTATCATAAAACATTTTAATGATCTGAAATATACCACGATGTATATGCATACAGATGTAAGATATCATGCACACTTATTCATTTGCTAAAAAAGCATTTGAAAAAGTTAAAGTTTGTTATAATTGAAAAACGAATCTTTTTTTTTCTTACACATATATGTATATAGATCACATAAATATTTATTCAACTACTACTTTCACAATCAATAAAGATGAAATATTCATTGCTCGAAATGATATACTACCTTCTAATACAATTTATATCATTGGTATTCCCATAATATTTTTCTTTAAGAGGTGATGAATATTTATAAACTCATTTTTCTAAAAGACAACGATTACTTTCCTTCTGCATATATTATGTGTAATACCGATTTATTACTCGATAGATGGACAAAGTATTATTTTAACAATTATAAAAGAGAAAATGTCTTTTCTACTACGTACATCAAATGAGCATATATACTCAATAATTGAGAATTTCATAGAACAATAGCTTCAACAATAAAAAAAAACAAATTTTCACCATATATGCATATATACTTCTCATATGCACATATTCAACTACTTTTTTTAACAATCAATAGAGGTACAACGTTAATTGTTCGAAGTGAAACAATACCTTCTAGTATATCTCATCCATATTCTCATACATATTTATTCTTATAAGTTGATGAATATTCAAAATCATGATTTTATCATTTTAAAAGAAGATGATTTCTTTCCTTGTGCATTTAGCCCTCATGTGCTTTCATTAACTATCGGAAGACTTAATAGAACTGCAGTTTGAACAATCGAAAGAAAGAGCATTATCTTCTTTCTACGGATATTATATGTATATATGCCAAGTCAACAAAAAAAAATATCCATATGCTTTTTCTCGATTTTAGTGACAAAGACGAAAGATTAAGTGTTTTCTTTTTAGAAAGGATAAAACTTTTCTTGTTTTTTTCACCATATGATGGTCCTTATCAGGGCTATCGATCAGTGAACGCCAAACAGTTTCATCTTTCATAGAAGAGGACAATTTCATCTTTTGTTTTTGTTACGAAGATGGTGAAAAGCATCTAAATACCCAGATGCTTTCTTTTGACTGGGTATATATATGAATCTATATATATGCATAATCAGTGATTTTGAAAACAACTAAGAATCTATACATTCAGTGTCGAGAAAAAAAAGGAAATATCGTTTTCGTATCTGTTTCTAACTCTTCGAATAAAGAGAAAACTATTTTTGCTTATAGTTTATGGGAAAAGTTCTTATAAATGATTGAAAATGGTGCTACTGATGCCAGCGAAAAAATGCATCTAATTTATATATTGTTATCAGAGATTTCCGCTCGTTTTGCTTACTTACTATACTTCATCAATTGTACAAGCACATTTATTTCAATAATACTTTTATCTTTACTATTTATAAAATGATGACCATCAAGTTTAGTAAGTGTTTATTTAAAACATGAGACAATTGATAAGACCCAAAAATATGTATTTTTTTAAGTGTAAAAATAATGAAAAAGAGAAAACAAGTACTACATATGCTAAAAAACGACAGAATCAGTAGATTCAGAAACATTTATTAAATGAGTAAAACAATAAATGGACATACGTTATAGTTTAAAACAATAAAAAAATTTTTTCTTGAATATGATAGTGTCATGCTTTCAATTAAAATGGATCTAAAATTCATCTTCCTCTTCATCATCGAGTTCTTCATCAATAGTCAAATCTTGTACTTCTTCATCATCTTCGTCTTTATCCAAATTCTGATCATGATGAAATGAAGCTGTATCACTTGTGCTACGCTCGATGTCGGTGTTGTTCATATAATTTTCAATTTCATCTTGTGTTTCATCAGGATCCAAACTATCATCGTACTGTAATTCTTCTCTCTTGTCGTGCTGTTGATATCCCATTTTCCGAATTTCGTGCTTAGCTGTTCGAATGGAAGTTCCAATGGCTCGCCGCATGTCTATCATTTTAAAGTTTAAATTTGGATGTAAAGTACGAGTATAAACTAAATAAAAAAAATAAATATTCGTTAGTAAAATTGATAATAGGAAAACTTACGGTAAATATTATCCAGTACTGCTGATGGTATTTGAGATATTGATTTACAACTGGCCCGACTGCTGATCGTTGGATACAGAAGACGGAAAAGTTTAAGTGCAGATTTTTGTGGTGTTCGAGCAGCAACAGTAATGAGACTGGTTTCATCGAGGCCTAAATCTTCACCTATTTTAGAAAGACTTCGTTCATCGTTCTGGAATGCCATGTTGCTATTCAATAAATCAAATAATTCTCTTAGCCATTCCAATACTTCAGCTGTTGGTCGTGCTAAATAAAAAAATCTGTACGGGTGATATGCTATGTTGATATAAGCAAAACAATAAACTGTATTAGCTGTGCTTAGCAATAGTTTACTATGAAATTATTTGAGTTTTGAGTAGCACCCATTCGACAAAATCCTTTTATTTTGTTACAACTAATATAGTTAACAGCATGGAAATGAATATTTTCATAGATTTTTTCAAATTCCTTATAGGAATATAAAATCTAATTGCTAATAGGCAATTATATGCTGAGCTTTTACAAACGGCTAGATCTATTTGTAAAAATTATTCTTTATGCTAGTAAACCTTGAAATTTGCAATCAACATGTTCTTTCAGGTTTTTCATTCGGCTATTTGTACAGTAAAACTAAGTGTAGCATGAACAGATATTTATTTTTACACATGTACACTACACTACAGCTTTGTAATATTTTCTAATTATTTTTTTTTGATATGAAGCCTGAAAAATGTGTTTGGAAAACTATTACATATTTCCCTGATCTAAAAAATTATCAGCACGAATACATTTTATCAACTTACACCTCTAAAGCACACTCATATATATATATATATATATCAGAATTTAGTCAATTAACATTATTTCAGTTGTCTAACAAATTCAAAATGATTTGATATTGTTGTGCGATCATATTTGCTCTTCATTTCGTTTTTACCTATTTTCTCATAAAATAAAACAGAGTCTATATTTTATTTCAACGCGTAAATATAAATATTTATTTATATCAGTCAAAAGTAATAAAAATTCATAGTGCATTATTTAAGCTAAAATATTCTTTTAGAACTTAAATTAAGTTTTATCTACACATAACAAAGATTTCAAATCAAACTTAACAAAATGCATCGATCATTCAAGTAGTGGAAGAAAATATAATTTAAAAAATTTAAAACTTACGTAAAGTGCTTCCTTTTAATTCATTTAATTGCTGTTTTAATACTTTGTAATCTTTTTTCCATTCGTCCGCTCGGCTTTTTTCCTGTATATATAATCTCTTAAGTTCTCGATATTCCAAAGAACCTTGTATTAAGGACTGTCCAGAAAAGCTATTCGTAGTTGACCTATTCGGATCAATCGAAAGGGAAAGTCGATTCTTGTTAAAAATTGATGTATCAGCTGGAACTTGAGTAGAACTTTTTAATCATAACAATATGAAAAAAAAATTGAAGAAATAAGTAAAATAACAATGATAAGTTACCTTTGTTTGTTCATGACTACATTTTTACTCATTGATGTAGCAGCAGATGATATTCTACGAGAAAACTAAATTTTGTGTTCATATTAACAAATTGTACACTAACTGTGTCTTAGAATTACGTTGAACTTGATTAGAAGTGCATGTTATACCAGCATTTGTAGAACTAGATCGATCGAAAGAAAAACGTGAGATTAAAAAAGCAGAAAAAATATGCATACTTTTGTATTTGTGTAAGTGGTAGCTTTTTTGTTGTACTAAATTTTTAAAAAATCAACCTTTAAATGTTATTTAAAAAAGAAACAAAACCTGGTTCGAGAAACTACAGAATCAACGACCGCACGATCTGTTGATTCGAGATCCTTATCTTCATGCTGTGATTGTTCATTAATGGCAGGCATGTTTTTACGATTCTGATTCGATGATAATGAAGAAAACGAGATTTTAGATCGAAGTGATGCATTTTGAGAACCATTAGAATTTTTATTACTAGACTTAATACTATGTTTAGTTGATGCTTCTTTAGAATATTGAGACACAGATTTAATCGAATTTTCTTGACCACCTAACATAGTCGAGTCATTTTCTACATCGGAAGCATTCTCCTCTGGATATAATGGTTGAGATGATCGATTACGTTTCAATCGAGATGAAATAGTATCCGATACATTACTGATAGAGGAGACGGGTCGCTTCATCGCTAATTAAATATTAGCAAATACGTATATAACGACAAAAAAAAGACCACGTAAGTATTTGTTGATGTATGTATTGAGGAAGTTAATTGAGATAAATTCACCAGAAGTTATCTAAAGAGAGAATCAACATGATCTAATTTTAAAAGCAATAGTAGATATTCCATATACGATGTAAGCCAAACAGTTATAACTCTTTCACTCTAAGATGAACTAAGTGAAAAAAAAACAACTAAAGAAATACATTATGGGTATAAATGTAAAGAAATGAAATGTTATTGCAGTACATATGCATGGACATTATATGTTTTCTTCATATAAGTGCAGAATGAGAATCATCCAGGGTCATTTACGTAAAAGTATTTCGATGATACAATAGTATACGATGACGAAAAAATAATGATTATATAATTTCGGACGTTGTGGAATAAATATCTTGATATCAAGAAGAATGAACCAATGATATATGATTCGTATACCCCTTGATACGTATTAGTTATATGAGCAGACATCCAGCTGATAAATAAAACATAAGTTTGAAAGGTTTCCACCTTAAAAATATATAAATAATTTTTATAAGTAAAGACATGTTTGACTAAATATTTTCATATCGAAGTACCACATGAAGCCATGTAACCTACTATATATCTCTGTACTATATTTTATACGAAATCCAAGAAAATTTTCTAGCACCAAAGAGTAATATTGACTATAGATGATGTGAAGCACAATTTAGAGCCCTTGTAGTTTATAAAAATTAGTTTATCACTTGTGTTGCGTCAGATAAAAATACATGAATACTTAATACTATCTAGGTATTTTAATCGTGAGTTCTGTATTCCACAGTAAATTTAAAGATTTGAAAAAACGATCTACTCAACACAGATAATTTGATATATTTCAAATAGAATTTAAAATCAAATAATAAAAATAAGCAGCGATCCATTCCTTATGAAGTAAAGAACAATCAAGTAAAATAACAACAATCTTCTTTTTGTTATGCTGAAATAATTCTCTTTGAAGTTAAGAGTGGTTCTAAATTATATTTGCAATATTTTGTGAAATTTATAACTGTTCGCTTTTGTAGCCTTTATATGCTCAACTATTATCATTTTAGTAGAATTTTTAATATCCATTTCTTCTGTGAGTCATTAATAAAATTCTTCAATGTAATTCATCAAGTTTATGTCAAGGACTTCAGTAAAAATTAGAAAATGTGACTGACATTAGATAATGTTATAGAGATTTCAATTTAATTCCATTCATTCAAGCTGAATAAAATATCATTTATTAAATACATTTCTTGGTCATCTGAAACTATTTAGCTTTCATTGTTTTTTATTTTCATTAGTACAGTATGTTTTAGTAAGTCAATTTTCATTTCAATCACTGTTCACGTACTAAAATTGCTAAAACACGCATATCTTTATAAATAATACTTTTACCTATCACCAACAGAAATTTTTTCCTTTCCATTAACAATAGATCATCTATTATAGTTGCATAGTTTCGTATTCTTCTTAACCCACAATTTCTTTTTTTCAGTGGGATATTCAAAAGTTGGATCAGTGTATTCACGCCTCAGTGATCTATATCCTGTAGTATAATACGCATCATTCCTTTCTTCTGGTTTATCTTGAGACAATAATTATGTATTCTTCTTTCTCATGTTACTGTAGTCCGATGAGTTCATAAGTAGAACTTAAATTGTGATATTTTTTTAAAATCTTCGTATACTTTTTTATTCATCCGTTATTTGACAAGTGTCGAATCTAGATACCAATTCACTGTCAACATGTTCATCACAATGATTAGTGTAATTTACATACACAAAACACTGTTTAAAAGTGAGAACACTATGAATGATATATTTAATGTGAATTAGTAACATGATGAATAGAAAAGAAATAAAACAAAATAAAAATTGTTTACACTTTCAGCAGTCATATTAATGTGACTTTTATTTGTTTGTGCTTAATTTCAAATGGATGAATGCATGACCAATGAAAACAGGATGTCATTTACTATTATGTTGTTATATGAAATTAATTAATTTTTCCTCCTTTATCATAAAATATTGAAGAAGAAAATAATTCAGTAATAATGAGAAAAGTCACAACTTTTCTTTTTAAAACCTTCTTCTGTAAAAATTTGATGATTTATAAGAGAATAAGTTTTAAAATTTTCACATAGTTAGGTAGGGCAGGAGAAGTATTACAAATTGTATGAAAAAAAATTTCCTAAAATAAAAATAAATATTTCAAAGTTAATTCGACCTTTTTCGTATTTCAATATTTTTCTTAGATACGGTCAAGCCACAAGGTATTAGAATACTGAAACATCTATATAATTTCTTAAAATCCATTTTGTTCCAGCCAGATGTAAAACGCACGAAATTTCGAGAGTATGACAAGCTATTATACAACAGTTGCAGTGAAGTTTTTTAACCTAATACCATAAGGTTAAGAAAGATACTCTTTCAAGCTGTAAATGTTTGCAACTGTTACTTAATTACTACCGTCTTCTATCTTTTATGACAAATGAAAAAAATTAATTAATTAATTTCATAGAGCAGCATAGTATTAAATGGCATACTGCTTCCATTATTCATGCATTCATTCATTTGCAAGGCAGCATAGATATATAAAAGTCACTTAATATGATTGCTGAAAGTTTAAAGAATTTTTATTCATTTTGTTTTATTTCTTTTCTATTCATCTTTAATGAAATGACATGAATATTATAAGCGGTAGATGAGTTGTACTACACAATGATACATAAATTATATATAGATTCAATGTCTATCAAATGGTAAATGAATAATAACATATAAAAAAAATTTTAAAAATATCAAAATTAAAATTCTACTTTTAGTTGATTGGATTATAGTTCTTTTAGCACACGTATGATTTACCGAATTACACTATTAAGTTATTCATTTTCATCAACAATATTAACGTCTTCTATCATATCTCCTATTCTAAAATACTGTCATCGGTTACAGCCATATGCGAATTTCTCGCACATCATCCAAAATAGTTATTGAATCAACATTCGTTTGACAGAGAATATCACTGATAAGTGAGGGCCAATCGTCTAAAAAATTCGGCGTATTTGCGTTTTTTTTAGCTTAAAATTGTCAAACATATTCAGTGATGAGTCATCTTCACTTGAACGAAGGTGATTTCTTTTTGTTTCAGTCTCGATAAATGTTTTCAATCAATGCCATGGTCAAGCATTCGTGTATTGCATATTTGCAGTTCTTTTCTCCATTCAGAACTTTTACCCTTGTTTTAAATTGTCCCGCATTCTCGATCAACGAGTGCTAAGTTTTGATCAAACTGCTCTCTGTGCATAGAATTTTTCCTTTTTATGTTTTAATTATTAAACATATTCAATCCTGAGTCACCTATAATTGAAATGAAAGTGTTTTTTTGTTTAACTTTAAGTATGTTTACTTTCAATGGACTCAATTTGTTTATATTCTAGGTTTATATGACATCTATCGGTTCACTTCAATATTCACTATACAACCAGAAATTTTTCTATCGATGCATATAACTTGTTTCTCTTGGATTGAAAAATGTTGTTATAATCTTGTATATTCACACATCATTGTTCAATGAGTGGTAAGTTCAGATTCTATTCTATAATTTGATTGTCTTTCTTTTTTAAGTTTAGTTTATCGAAAATATGCAAAGCTGACTAATCTTTAATTAAAACTATCGTAGTATTTTTTTTTCTTTGTAGATATAAATGTTTCTAATTGATTCCATCTTGAATTATTCAAGATCAAAATTACTTATGGTGGTATTGTCCGATATTTAGCTCTCGATCATACATAAATGTATGGTTAATTAAAGACTTTTCTCTTTCATTTACAACTTTCACTTTTTTGCTTGCAGATACGAAATTACTATTAATGACGAATACGTCTGCATTGTGTTGTGTACTTGATATAGGTTTTGGGTGCAGACTATGAAGCATGTTTCTTGATGAGTTATCTTTAATTTTGGCGATGCTTGCTTTTGTTCTTTTCTTTTAGCTACATACATCATCATTCGATTCATTCTGTACTCGCTATGAATTGATATCCCATATTTTGATTTATTCATCGTTCAACTATCAATCTAGTATTCAAATGTTGGTAAGTTTAATTATTCTCCTACAATCACAAATCTCATCCTTTCTTTAACGGATCAATAACATCTATCTTTTAGGTTTTACGAGCTTCGTTCCTGTTACAAATTCGATTCGGTATGGTTTAATTATTTTTATGCTCGAAATACTGAGTATGAGTGATGATGACTCATTTTTCAATGAAACGGTACCTTTTTTCTTCTTTTATTAGATGCAACGTAACTAAATTGTTTCGATTTCTTCATATTCTAAATCAAGTTCAAGTATATCGATGTGCTTTAATGTTGATTCCTCGATTGATGCTTCATGGAATGGTAAGTTCACTTCTTGATCTTTTGTTGTGATGACAAAATTTCTCTTGTCATAGATGAATATTCAACTTCAATTAATAACTAGTGAGTCTCTATTCGTTATAAATACTATATTAGTTTTATTCTTATTCAAGTTATAGGTGCTCATGATGAGTTAGCTGTTGTTGGAATTATGCTTACTTTGTTCTTTTTTTATTTCAAGTAGCTATACTTTCAATGGATTCGATTAATTTTTTTTAGATTTAATCCATATCTGCCGATTCACTCCGATATTCAATCTACGATCAGATATTCCTCTTCTAATGAAGAGAGTTTGTTACATCGGATTGAAAAATATTATTAACAAAGTGTATAGATACACATTGTCGTCCAGTGAGCGGTAAGTTCAGATTCTATCATACACTCTGTGTTGTTTTCTTTTTAATTTTTTTTAGGTTCAAATTATGGAAGATATGCAATGGTAAGTAGATATTAACTAAAGCAATAGCTGGCTCTTTTTGTTATATTGTAGGTCATTTTCTTTGAGCCAATTCGACTCTTTTTCTCTATGAATTGATATCAAGTATGGTGATCTTCTCCGATAGTGGTTGCTCGACGAAAGGTTTATGTATTTGTCAGTTGAAGTCATTCTCCTCATATTCATAATTGTTGCCGCCTTCGTATATAGGTGCGCATCATAAATTAGTCATTGGTGGGTTTACATGGTTTTATAAACGCTATGTACTATTATTTCTTTTAGTTTGAAGCTCGGCAATCTATTTGGTGGTAAGTATGGTTTCACTGAAATAATATTTATTTGCTTTTGTTGCAGATGTATGTGTTAACATGATATTTCGGTGGTCTTTTTTCTCGATGTACATAATGGATATGGCATCCTTCGATGTTCAAGCACGGATCAAAGATTGGTTTACTACCTGGTGAGTTCAAATCGTTTTTCTTTGGCGGCAATTTTCAGCTCTTTTTTGCAGCATTTAGTTTCATATGATTTGTTATTAAGTTCAGATTATGTCATACACTAGATACCGTTTGTTAGTTTTTATTTGTACGTCAGTCGAGGATTTGTACTTGAAGGAATATTCAAGAAGAACTATGATTATTTGTCTTAGTATTAGTGTTTAAGGAGAGAATTTTTCTTCAAGTTTTGTAGAAGCTTTCACTTTACCTACAACATTTTCGTCTTTTCTCCTCTTTCGGAACAATTCGATTCGGTTCGTTATTTTGTTCCACGGTTAATATGAAGTCGATTCATTAATGTGTGAATTAGGGAGTAGTATTACCTTCTGGAGATGACATAAGTCATCAGTGTTTCTGTTGGTTTGACAATTAAGTATGTCGACTTCTTTATAATTTCGTATTCTTATGTAGTTAGTCGTTTCAGTGGTTCTCATCCCTAGTGATTGGTTTCCCGTTCTGATTCCTGCTTTGGATTCGATTGGTCTCTTGCAGAGTAATATAAGATCGCTTCGTTTGAGTTTATATTAAATCCTTTTCCTTGTGTTCTGTTGACTGTTAAAAATGAGTGAAGTAATACATGGTATAGTTTTGTTTCTTCTCTTACGAGGGAACCTCGTGAAGTGATAAATCGCTTTTAAACGGAGACTTCTCTCATTATCTCGGTTCTATTGAGACTAGAAAAAGCCTGGAATCATTCGAGCCCATCGATCTTTCCTTTCGAGTTATATTAATTTTACTGGGTTTATGAGTTGTTGTAGGGCACTGGAAGCAAAATTGAAAGAGTGCTTCGATTTCAATTCTGGCCCATAGAAAAGTGTCGTAGTGGTTAGAATGTACCAAAAGTTTCAGCGAAAGAAAGCGTTTCGTTCCCGAGATACTGGTCTTGTAAAAAAGCACATATTTAACCGGAGAATCAAAAAAGATCAGATGTTTTGAAACCTATTATCTCAGGGAGGAAACACTATCTTCCACTAAAACTTTCGGTGCATTCTACCTATTATGAGAGCTATCTATGGGCAAGAATCCAGATTAGAACGCATTCTTTCAATTTTGCCTCCAGCGCTCTACAACAGGTCATAAACACAGTAAAATGACTTTGAATTGAAAGGAAATACCAATGGACACGAATGATTCTAGGCTTTTTCTAGTCTCAATAGAACCTAGATAATAAGTGAGGTCTCAGTTTAAAAGTAGTTTATCACTTCGTGAGGTTTCCTCGTAAGATACAAAGCTGAAAATTTTTTCAAAAGCAAATCGTTTGAGTGCTCTGGGTTAGGTTCGTACAGTAGTAGAAATTTTTGTCACTATCCACGCTTTTTGTCTGCAATGGAATCCTAATTACACTAGGCATGCACTAAATCCCGTTCTTAGATGATAAGGATGACTCATTTGCGATTTGAAGAACCGTCAGTCCCTATCAAATCTTTGGGTGGTATCTATTCAAATTTTATCTCTCTTTCTAATAATGGTCGTAGACCTGTCAAATCCGAGTAAAAAAGGTGCAGGATTCGACCTGAAATTCATGTTTTTTGGTCAAATCCTGCCCCTTTTTTAATCGGATTTGACAGGTCTACGACCATTATTGGAAAGAGAGATAAAATTTGAATAGATACAACCCAAAGATTTGATAGGAACTGTCGATTCTTCAAATCACAAATGATCCATCTTTATCATCTAAGAACAGGATTTAGTGCATGCCTAGATGGCACTCTCTGCGTGTACCACAGAAACATTCATGAGTAGTAAATCAGAAGTGCGTTGCAGAGACCAGTCGTTTAAACAAGCAAAGTTTTCCATAAAATGAAAAATGATATTATGAACGTCTAAATTTGCTGACCGTAATTGAATGCCAATCAAGGTTTCCAATCGTGAGTCGAACACGTTCATGAGAATCAAGTGAAAAACTAATGGAAAAAATGGATCGTTTAAACACGTAAGCATTTCGTTTAAAAATGGATCGTCCAGAAGTGGTCGTGTTAGCGTCGAAGTATTCTGCGAGTTAGCGGATGCTAATCGCGGTCCTCGATTATGGGTTAATAACGTTTTCTAAAAATGAATGTGGAAACGCTCAAAAAACCACAGGTGTTTTTCGAAGCGAGGCACGTTTTTAGATCGATTGTGATAAACGCTCAGGCAAAATTTTTGTGTAAAAACGGTCATTAGTTCCAACCGTTTACGGCTGACAATCGCGGTTCCCGATTGTGGGCTAATAACTTGTGAAATTATTAAACGAATAAATGTCATCTTTTTCTTAGAGTTTAAACGCCATTTAATTCAGTGAATCAACGAAAGTGATCGTTTTAACACCGAGTATTATGAGCTGTTACTGGGTCACAATCGGGAACCGCAATTAGCAGCGAGACACGGTCGAAAATCGGTTTGCGTTTAAACGCGTTTTCTCAAAAGTTTGTCTGCTCGGGTAAGCAAAGAATAATTATATTTATGAAAATGTTACTGGACGATAAAACTACATTAGCAAAATACAGAAGGGTATGGATCTAACGGTGTAGGTGTGGGTCACTTTCAACAGTGAGATTTATANGCTCGAATTGTTGTCGCAGCTACTGGACCATTATCAAATGCATCTTATCCAACTGATATTCCTGGTATTGATCAATTTCAAGGTCAAATGTGTCATACAGCTGAATGGGATAAAACAATAGATTTTAAAAATAAACGTGTAGCTGTTGTTGGTACAGGAGCAAGTGCTATTCAAGTCGTTCCAGAAATTCAACAGATGAATGTATCAGAATTGTTTGTTTTTCAACGAACACCACCATGGATTATACCTCGAGATGATCGACGTATAAGTGATTTCGAAAAACGTCTATTAACATATTTTCCAATTATTCAAAAATTAATTCGACGATGTCTTTATTGGTCACGTGAAGCTTTAGTACTTTCATTTGGTTATCGTTGGCCAACTCGTTATGTTAATCAAGAATTAGTTATGAGTAATCTTAATAGAGAAATAAAAGATATAGAATTAAGAAGAAAAGTTACGCCGCCATGGGATTTAGGATGTAAACGTGTTTTAATAAGTAGTGATTGGTATCCAACATTACAAAAACCAAATGTAAAACTTGTAACAAATCGTATACGAGAAATTAAATCACATTCAATTATTTCTCAAAATGGAGATGAATATCCAGTTGATATTATTATTTGGTCAACGGGATTTCAAACACAAAAATTTGCATTACCCATTTATGGGATTAATGGTTGTTCATTAGATGAACAATGGTCTGAAACCATGAAGGTAAATTAATTTCATAGCTATATATATATATAGATGAGTGTATTGCAAACTTATGGTACGATTGAGATTTTAGTTATATTTAGCTAATTACTTCTCTTCCGTTCAGTTGATTTTTTCTAATGTTATTTTTTAGCTCATACTGTAGCTGAGTAACGAGGCGTGTGCTGTGAAAAAACTTTACTTTATAGAGAAATGTAATTAGAAAACGAGATTTTGTCAGAATCGAAGAAATCGAATAAAAAAAATAATAGAAAAAAAATGATCTTCTTCTAAAAGTTCGAGTTTTACTCACGTGTATTGCAAATAACTATTTTTTTTATGCAATAGTTCAATTAAAACTGCGTCAAAACGAATGGTATTTTACATCAGTGAATTTGTTATACGGCAGAAGATTAACCTATTTTGATTCCGAACATAGATTCTGAATTAAAACATAATTCTATTACTTAGAGTTTAACTGGACTACTGTCGTTTTCAGAGCGATATTTTTCATATGATATTTCAAGTGACAGTGAATTAACATAGGGTTGCATCTGATATGATTGATCTCATTTTATTTCAGAAAATTATTCTTTGCGTATTTCAAATATCGATTATGGATTAAAAAGCAGTTTTCACATGTAGAATTTCGATGAGTTGTAACCAATTCTCCCATTTTTCACATAATGCTTCAACGAAAATAAGGCGTATCTTGGTTCATATGTGGTCAAGTTTTGCGAAATATTTACTGTGTAATACAAACATAGATTATAATAAAAGATATTACTTAAAAATATGTAAGTGTACTTTTAACTTTTCGAGTCAATCATACAGAATTATTGCATTACATTGATCTATATTTGAATGATGTGTTTATTTTATAAGGCATATCGTGGTATAACTGTACCTAACTTTCCAAATTTGTTTATTCTTCTTGGACCTAATTCTCGTCTTGGTCATTCATCTGTAATAATCATGCTTGAAGCTCAATTAAAATATATAGTCGAAACTCTTCTTTACATCGATAAAAATAATTTACGATCTTTTTCAATAAAACAAAATGTATATGATGCATATAATCAATGGATACAATCGAAATTAAATAAGACAGTATGGCATTTAGGTGGTTGTCATTCATGGTATCAAAATGCAAAAGGTACTGTTACAACAATATGGCCAGATTTTACATGGATTTATCATTTATTAATGAAAAAATTTGATTATCAAAATTATATTTTAGAAAAATAATATTATTGTGTACCCTTGAGTATTGTATTGTTTAATATTCATAGAAAAGTACAGAATAAATGATTATAAAAAAAAAAACTTTTTTTCCTTGTTTTCATACAGATATTTGTACTGATTAATAGTAGAATGTTCTTTTTCAATCAATATTGATTTGAATAATTCTTATTAGGAGTAATATTTTTCTATAATTATCATCTAATCTTATTCATGAAATGTCACATCCTATTTTCTCAATGAATAAAGTACGACTAGAACATTCTGGAAAATACGTTCTATGAACTTGAAAACACGAATCCAATGATTAAATACGATGGCAGAGATTCTTCAGTTCCGTCCGTAATCGACCATAATTGAACAAAGCTATTCATTGGATTACTGCTTCAAAGTTCGTACTATTTTCCGGCCGGAAACAACATGTTTCCGATGGAAAACCATGGATTCGGGACAGCGCAATCATTGACCTATGTTATAGTTTTTCATTATCATTGAATTTAATATTTTTTTGCTTGTTTCAGACATTTTTCTATTCTCTTCCTTAACTGTTTTTTTTACTTATTTAATAGATTCTAATATTTATAAAGTACGTCACATAATAATTGACGATAAATTATCAATGATATTTTTTCATACTTTTTCTTGATGTAGAAGGCTATATGAATTTTCGTACTTGATTTTTTTGACATGTTTACATGTTGACCAGAGGTATTTATAAACATTTGATGACAAAAAACTTTACATGAGAAATTATTTTTTACGTGTAAATCATAATAAAACTCAACGTGTATGAACATATTTTCCATTGTTTCCTATGACTAATTGTAATTGATCAGGTATTTCATCTATCATTTTTTTTTAGGAAATTTTCTTGATTGTTCGTATCTTCTTTTATTAATTATAATGACATCAGTAAATTTACCATTCGTTACCTACGGATTCTATATGTTTATTAAATAATTGTGCTACGAAATGTTTAATCAATATTTCATGTTGTTTTGAAAAGATTTAAATTTAATACAAATCATTCATAATCTTTCTGTTTTCGTAATTGATGGACATGCAAGAAAAAAAAATTGTCATTAAATCTAAAAGACTTCAGATATTAATACATTCCAATATAGTTAAAACAATATTTAATTGTTCTATTGCAATAGACTACGTGAGAAAAATATTATTAAAATCTAATACAAAAATTCATCTATTTCAGCATTAATTTTACCTAGAGAACTAAAACTTGGCAAAATTAAAGACCTTGATTAAATAAATATGTGGTAAAATTTTCAGCCTTTTACCTCGAGAAAAAGTATAAAAAATGTCGTTGAGAATTTGTTCTCAGTTATCATAGGGCATCCTTTATATGTTGTAAAATGATATGAAGTTTCAATACTAGAAGAAATATCTTCAGGTGAGATACAATACATGCATTATAATATATTTTACAATAACAAGACAGAAAAACAATACCCTGTCCTTTTTTTCTTCTTTCTTTGCTTTAATAATCGCACAGAATGAGACGCTAAGAATAATTATCTGGACGGATGAATCATTACTATATCATTGTAAAAGTCAAGAAACAAAAAAAAACAAAATAACTGTCTGTTGTTGTGTTTATTCTCAAGTCATGTTACATATTGACGTATTACATGGCTTTGTACTACGATGATATTTCTCCGCATGTGATATGGACAAAAATACTTATATAAGGATTTCGTAATCTCAATTCTTGGTTGTAAAATAGAATCTATTAAATAACTAAGTTAACAATTTAAAAAGAGAAATGAAAAAAATCTACGAATTCTTTGATCTTTTACACAAGACAAGAAGTATTTTTTTTTCTCATTATATTTAAAATTCGATAGTGTTTTGAATTTTATAGCTGTTGAAAAAAAAATACTATAACATAAACAACAACTTCTAATTATAACACGTTCGTGATTCTCAATGATATGAAAAAACAAACTTTGGTACCTGCAGATAAAAGCACGAAGGTCAGCAGATAACAAATACATTTGTATATTTTGCTTCAAAAATTATATCACATTTGTTATAAAAGCTATGATCATATATTTTCTTGTTTTAGATGGGAAACGTGCTATTCTTTAAATTAGATATATTATTATTAATACTAGGCTTTTACATCGTGATAGGTCTTTCGTTGTTACTGGGCCTTATTGGACATTGCATTTATTGGCTTTTATATGATTCATTTGGTCGTTATGAAAAACGACTTAAACGAAAATTGAAATGGATAAATAATCAACGACATGATGAATACTATGTTATTATAATTGGTACTGGTTTTTCTGGTCTTGGTATGGCTATTAAAATGAATGAACTTGGAATGGATAATTATATTTTAATTGAACGACATGAACATGTTGGTGGTACATGGTATGCTAATAAATATCCAGGTTGTGCATGTGATGTTCCATCAAATCTATATTCATATTCATTTGAACCTAATCCAAAATGGTCATATTATTTTAGTCGACAACCTGAAATAGCTGAATATCTTGAATATTGTACAGATAAATATAATATTCGTCGACATATTCAATTTAATACAAATGTTACACAATTGAAATGGATTGAAGAACGACAATTATGGCAAGTTACAACACAATCAAATAATCAAGAAAAACAACTTTTTGCTCGAATTGTTGTCGCAGCTACTGGACCATTATCAAATGCATCTTATCCAACTGATATTCCTGGTATTGATCAATTTCAAGGTCAAATGTGTCATACAGCTGAATGGGATAAAACAATAGATTTTAAAAATAAACGTGTAGCTGTTGTTGGTACAGGAGCAAGTGCTATTCAAGTCGTTCCAGAAATTCAACAGATGAATGTATCAGAATTGTTTGTTTTCCAACGAACACCACCATGGGTTATACCTAGATTTGATCGACCGATAAGTGACTGGGAAAAAAACTTATTCAAACGTTTTCCAATTATTCAAAAATTGATTCGTGGTATTGTTTATTGGATAATGGAATCTCTTGCATTTTCATTTGCTTATCGTTGGCCATTGAAATTTATAAATGATAAATTAGTTAGATATAATCTTGAAAAACAAATTAAAAATATAGAATTACGAAAAGAAGTCACACCAACATGGGAATTTGGATGTAAACGTATGTTAATAACTAATGATTGGTATTCAACATTACAAAAACCAAATGTAAAACTTGTAACAAATCGTATTCAAGAAATTAAATCACATTCAATTATTACTCAAAATGGAGATGAATATCCAGTTGATATTATTATTTGGTCAACAGGATTTCACACACAAGAACTTCCATTACCAGTTTATGGAATTAATGGTTGTTCGCTAGGTAAACAATGGTCTGAAACAATACAAGTCAGTATATTAAACAAGAATGTTGTTTTTTTTTATTTAAATTTATGTTAAATAGACTTATCGTGGTGTAACTGTACCTAATTTTCCAAATTTCTTTATTCTTCTTGGTCCGAATACAACTCTTGGTCATAGTTCAGTTGTAATTATGATTGAATCACAAATAAATTATATAGCTGAAGCATTTCTTTATATGGATCAAAATAATATACAATCTATTGAAATAAAACAAGATGTACATGAGAAATTCAATGAAAATTTACAATTAAAATTAAAGAGAACAGTATGGCAAAAGGGAGGTTGTCATTCATGGTATCAAGATGCTAAAGGAAATAATACTTCTCTATGGCCTGATTTTACATGGATTTATGTATTATTAATGAAAAATTTTGATTATGAAAATTATATTTTCCGAACATGAACACTAAGTAAAATCTATCTTTATTTCATATACAACAATAAAATAAAAAAAAAAAAGAACAAAAGATAATGGACATTAAGTTTTGTTTTCATATTTATCCGATACATTTGTTCGTGCTATTTGTTTAAGCAGACGTTTTCTAGCATTTCGTGCTTCTAATGCACTCATCATTGCACCATTTTGATGATGAGCTGATTTGAGACGAGGCCATGAAACAACTCGTCGAGGTGGAATATCTAATGTTTCTAATGGTGGAATTAAATTATTATTTACTATACTTGGTCTTAAATCAGCAATTAATGATGATAAATGTTGATCTAAAAATGATGGATGTTGATGTGGTAGAATAAGAAGACGTCGAATAAAACGACGTAAAATATGTCGACGTCGTCTATATGGAATAAGATTTGATTCAGTTTGTTGATTTGTTGTTTGTTGAAGAAGTTGATGTTGTTGTCGATATTGTATAAGACGCCATTGATGACATGCATCAATAATCCACGAAGCAGTTGCTACTTGATTATCACGTGGTTCTTCAGTTGGTAATTCAAGATAAGGTGATAGACCACCACGATTACGTTCAATTTCTTTAGCTTCAAGTAAATCAACTTGTTTTAACCAATAATCTAAATCAAATTTATTTGATGATAAACGTGAATTATTAATATCTGATCTTGACAATGATGATGAACGACATAAACGTGCACGAGCTTTCCAAAGTAGATAAATGATGACAAATAATAACATACCTAAACAATATCATAATATGATAATTAATAATTATTTGAATAAATAGAGATGATAACTTATTTGGAATAAAAAAAGAAAATCCTTTTTTTATTTCTTGTATAACATATTTATTCAATGTTTGAGCATTTAGAGATAATGAGTAAAAATAAGTTTTTGTTTTTTTTTCTAAGTTAATACTTGTTAATGAGGAATTATTTGTAGGTTAATCCTATAAGATCTTTTGTTTAAAAAATTTTGAATTCTTTATTATTATAGAGTTTCTACTAACTTGAACATTATAATAAGCTAAAACTCAAAACCAATTTAAGATTATAAATAGTTCTTGTTGAACTTTCTTTCTATGAAAACTTACATTTTATCAAAGATAAAAAATCGCGTATTTATTTTTTTGAAATTCGCTAAGATAATTCATGATAGATAACCGTTTTTTTTTCACTATTGAACATAATAATCTAGAATACATGCAGTCAGACTTATGAAAAAAATCCTTCGATTGAGTAATCACTTTTGAGTTAGAACATTGCGCATCATGTAGATCCTAACAAGCCATAAATGTATTTAAAAAAAAGGTTCACTCATTAGCTTATTGTTGCTTGGATATTAAATGCCGAAGTCCTCCACAGAAATACTAGGAAAACTAATTTTCAACTTGAAACTTTGCATAGTGACAAGCCTTAATGAGAATAGTCTATTCGACAAAGTTTCATAAATTTTAATTTGCTCTTATTCTGAAATAAGAACACCGAATCTGTCAATGCAAAAAAAAAACAACATGCCTTGAGGGTGTGGCTGTAAGAGGCCACGACATTCAATATCTCAGCAATAATAACCTAAGAATTCAAACTCGTTTCAGAATACTCATAAATAATTAAAATCTACACGACGCACGCAGTTCTTATTCAAAAGTAATTAATCTCTTGGAGGATTGTTCTCGTCAGCTAGGATCTAAAATATCATTTTTTAACATAGGATTTCCATCTATATGAATAAATAATGGTTTTTAACACATTTACTATCAGCTTCGGAAACATATCACTAATCATCGATCTAAGTAGTACTTATCGTCGATCAAATATATATATTCATATGAATCTATTATTGTTAATAACACTATTCATTCATAAATTCTTTTAGAAAAAAAAAAAAAGAAATACTCTTATTAACTATTTATCAAACATTTCCTCTTGTTTCATGAACATTTTTTTTTACAATGCTTTTGTTTGGACATAATAGATAAAGAATTATTACCACAATAAAAATAAAAACCCATAGAGACACTTCTATTCTTATATTTGTATCAGAAAGTTATGAAATGAAATATTCTTTTTTTTTGTCCTCAATAGTTAATTTTTATACAATAATAAATCTATGGATATCCTATACTAGTAGAATGGATACATGGTTTTTGTTTTTTTGTTTTCTATTATATAATAACATACCACCAAGAAGAGCTCCTATCTTAATGCCTGTTTTAACCGAATAGGATTCGTCAAATGAAGATTGTTGATATTGAATTGTAGAAGATGAAAGAGAACTAATATTTTTAAAGAATGAAGTAGTTGTATAGGTAATCGTTGTATCTTTTTGTCGTTTTTGATGTTTACTAATGTTTAATAGACGATAAATAGATGATGTTGTAATAGTATTTAATGATGACAATGCCAGAGAATTGTTTATATAATTGAGTGGGTACATTATTGGTCGTGTTGTTGTTCTTCATTGCGATTTTTACTAATATTAATTTATATTGTCGTTGCTACCGCTCACATTCATCTATCAATACACACATCAAATAATATAGAAGCGTGTAAAAATTAGAAAACTGAGAAAAGAAAAGGAAATGAAGAAAGTCAAATTCGATTTATAATAGAAAAAAAAAAGTTTCTAGCATAGCTCATTAATATGAACAAAAAAAAAAGGAAAGAACGTGATGTAGACAATACTATTAATATCCTTATTTTTCTGTTTGATAGAAACACACATACAGGAACACAAATGCCTCGAGGTCTCAGTTAGAATTATTTTTTTTTCTTTTTTTTTGCATTCTGTGAAAAATAATTGAGATGTTGTTAGACAATACATTCATATGAGAAAAAGAAAGAAATGAGATCATATTCGTTCTTTTATAGTTCAGTTCAAGAATCTTTTTCGTTTTCTACCAAAAAGATAATAATTCTACAAGTTAATTGTACTTTAACAAATATCTACAATGTTCCTAGCTAATCTAAAGAATGATTTGACGTATAAAAAGAGTATAATGTCATACGTAATTAGAACATTGAAACAAAAAGAAACATTGAAAAACGATAAGAACAACAGTAGTGGAAAATAGAAGATTTTCCGGCCGTTTTTTTTTTCTATATTTTAATTACAGATGTTGTTATTTCCTAAGAAGAAAATAATTTCTTTGTCCATTTGTTTTTTAATTAAAACGACATAATCAATAAAAAGTAATTGTGAATCAAAAGGTATCAATTCTCTCTTATTCTACCGATATACTAGAAAAGCAAACTTACATATGCAAGTAATCATCAATGTCGTTTGTCATTGTTCTCTCTCTCTCTCTCTCTCTCTCTCGTTTTTTCTTCATCTATTTCAGATCAGAAAAAAAGCGACAAGTAGTGAAAATGATCGTTCTTGTTTCATTCTTTTTTCCTTGTCCTTTTTACATGAGATGATGTTGAATATTGCATGTGTTTTTTTTTCTCGATGAAAAGGAATCTCCTGGCAATTAGAAACGTATGCATTCGTTCATTCATACTACACAGTCTTCAAATATAATATGCATTCGATTCTTTGAGTCGAGAACATCAAATGAGAAAAGATGTAGATGAGTTGCCGAATTGAGATAAAGACTAAGTGCTAATCGGATTTCATTCGCATATAGAACTAGAGAAATACAATTGACAAATGAAGAAAATTCTTCTATGAACATTGTTATTAATATTTTGATGACAACAAAAATATATATATATATATATATAACTAGATAATATTGTTTTTTGTAAAAAGATTTTTATCAAATACAACCTCAATTATATTCCAATTTAACTGAATTGATATAGTTTAAAATTAAGTTTTATTTTTAGTAATAGAATTCTTTTTTTTTTTTCTATAATCATTTTTCAATGCTTTCATAGCAAAGTTCTAACAAAAGTCATGAGTCGTCAAATAAGGAAACTATATACTATATGACAAATATTATATGAGCAAAAAAAAAAGACAAGCACAAATTATTCTACAAATTCATCAAAACATTAACAGATGACTGATAATAGTATTAAGCCACGCATACAGGAAAAAAACACATATTTAATTATTTTAAAGGCAAATCAAATATTTAAATTTTATCAACACCTACGAATGATGAACATGTCTACATGACAATGTCAATTCAACAAGAATCAGAAATCGGAATACTAAAACATAATTAATTTCACAAAACCATTGATAATACTGCAGGACAATAGATGTTTTACTCAATCACTGATGCCCTAATACCAAAACAAATAATGCCTCTCGTCGATCATGAAGTATATTCATTTTCATTAATGATACAATTTTATTTATTCAATTTATCATATGTTTTACTTTATAGATAAATATAAGAGAAATTCAACTGAATATTGATATAGTAAATTTGAATAATTAAATATTAATTTATGAAATAAATATGACAATTGATTATCAAACTAACTGAAGTATTTTTATTTTTCATTGAATTTTTGTTTTGTAGCCGTTCTATAAAATATTTATTAATGAAATATAAACAGAATGAATATCTACTTGAAAAAGATAATAATGATGATGAAAAATAAGATAACATTGTGATAGATAAAGTAATCAAAATAACATCGCGTGATGTCTATTCATAATTTGGAACATGACATTGTTTAATAATACACATGAGAAAAAACACGAAAGAATAGAATTACACTCAGTAAAACAAGTGTCTATCTCAATTAAATATTGAACAATTAAAAACTCATCGAAAAAGACAACAAAACATTATGAGAAATCTAATGTCTATTTAAATAATTTAAAATAAAACAAAACATAATGTAGATTCTTTAATAAAACTAAATGTATGAAGATATCTTTCTTTCTCTAAGATTCAAGCCATGTTGTCAACTATGCAATATATAGTAGAGGATAAATAGATAAATTTCTTATCTATGCTTTTTTCAAATTTCTGTTTCTCGTTTCATGATATATTATCTTTTGATTATCTGTCTATTGTAGAGGACGACGCATACTGATGCATAGCTTTATTCAAAGGACAATGAATGTCGCAACTCCAGGAACAAAGAAGCCTAGAAAAGGACACCTAGTGAGACTACATATCTTGACAACAACAAAATTCCGAAGAGAAATTTTGAGTTTTCGCTTTGAAAACTTGATTTTATTACGCGATAATTTCTTTTTCAGATTTTTGTATTTCTCGATATTTAACTCTTCAATGTTGAGACAATGCCGAAGCGATCCTGCGAAATTAGACAACAGCCGACTTTGAAAAAATTGATTGCAATGAAAAAAAAGCTTAGGAGAACAGCAATGATCTTTGGTATGAAGGTGTCACAGTAGTTCTTTTACGAGAGAAGATTTCCAAGTATACGTCACGAATCGAATTAATATTTTGTCCATTAGTAAGATCGAGCGCGACTGTGGAAGTTTATAAGAGTTTGTTCTCATGCACTGTTCTAATCTGAAATATTTACTGTAGGTAGATCTCATGAATTTTAGAATGTACTGAAAATTTCAGCCAATAGAATATATTGCTCTTGACATATCCAATTTAGAAAACACTGGACTTTCTTACATTCCTGGTAACATTTGATTTTTTTTTAAATTATAGTCCACAGTTCAAGTTAAAATTTTGTAATTTGATTTTTTCACAAATACCTAGCTAGAGATAAAAACTAGAACTTCAATAAAATTGTAATAGGTTAGAAATGATAGTACATGGGGGATGAATTCTTATAGGCTTCTATTAGTCT